TAGTTTACTTAGTAGTAGTTTTATTTTATTTATTTTTTGAGTTGGAGTCTCACTCTGTCGCCCAGACTGGAGTGCAGTGGCCGCTCCCAGCCACCGCAGCCTCGACCTGCTGGGCTCCGGCGATCCTTCCGCCTCAGCCTTCCAAGCAGCCAAAATTACAGGCATGCACTACCATGCTCGGCTGATTTTTTGATTTATTGTAGAGATGAGGTCTCGCTGCCCAGGCGGGTCTCGAACCCACGAGCTCAGGCAATCCACTCACCTCAGCCTCCTAAAGGCGCAGGATTACTGGCTGAGCCACCGAGCCCAGCTAGTAGTAGTTTTATAAAACTTGGTGCTCCTGTGTTGAGTGCATATATGTTTAAGATGGATATTTCTTGTTGGTGGATTGAGCCTTTTACCATTATGTAGTGTCCTTTCGTGTTCTTTTTTAACTTGTGATGGTTTGAAATCTGCTTTGTCTGATATCAGAATAGCTTTCTTCTGTTTTCCATTTGTCTGAAAGACCATTTTCCAACTTCCAACTTTGAACCTGTGTGTGTACTTTGCACTGAGATGAGTTTCCTGAAGGCAACAGACTGTTGGATCATGCTTCTTTATCCAGTTTGCCAATCTATGTCTCTTCAGTGATACATTTAGTCCATTCACATTCACATTGATTATAGAAATATGAAAGTTTATCCCTTTGGCAGGGGATTGCTTTGTTTCCTCTGTCTTAGGGGGTTGCTTTGTTTCCTTTTTATTTTTTTATTTATATATGTATGTGTTTTCATTTTTGTGAGTGCTCTGTATGCTCTGTTGACTCTGTGCTTGCCTGTACATTTTTTTCTTTTTTCCATATTCAACACATTCTCAAGCATCTCCTGAAGGGCTGATCTGGAGGTGGTATATTCTCTTAAGGATTGGTTGTCTGGGATGGAGTTTAGTTCTCTATCACTGATGAAGCTTTGCTTGGTGGGTAGGAAATTTTTCGCTGGAATTGCTTAACTTTAAGAATGCTAAAGATTGGACTCCAGTCCCTTCTGGCTTGTGTTTCTGCAGAGACATCTAGAACGATTCTGATGGGTCTTCCCCAGTAGGTAGTCTGAGCTTTCTCTCTTCCTGTTTTTAGAATTTTTTCTTTATGCTTACTTTGTGGAAGCAGAGTACTATGTTTCTTGGGGATTTGACTTCTCATGTGATACCTTGCAGGGATTCCCTGAACCTTTTGTACTTGAATGATCACCTCTCTAGCAAGATGTGGGAAGTTTTCTTGGATGACTTCAGGAAATGTTTGTTCCTGGTTTTCTCAGTTTCCCTTTCTGCTTCAGGGATACCAGACAGGTTTTGCTTCTTGACATAGTCCCACATCTCTCAGAGGCTTTGCTCTTTCTTTTTGAGCTTTTTTTCCTATGTTTTTGACAGACTGGGTTAATTCCATGTTTTGGTTTTCAAACTATGAGATTCTTTTCTCTGCTTGTTTTTGGTTTCCAGAATAAAGTTCTTCATTTCCATTGTTTCAGAATGGGGTTTTCTAAAATTGACTAACTCCACTTTTACTTCTTGTGCAACTTTGGTGAGTTTTTATTTTAGTTTATCTTGGTTCTCTCTGTTCATTTTAGCCATCCAGTTTCTGATTTCTGTGACTGTCATCTGGAACAGGTCATTCGGGGGGGTTTCCATTGTTTGTGCTCTGATAGCTGTTTTGTCAGGCACTGTCTCTTTAGTATTCTGAGAATTGCCTATATTTTTTGCTGATTTTTCCTCACTTGTGACAGGCCTCTCTTCCCTCTTTGTAATTCCTTCTGGTTTTGTTGCTCTGAAGCTAGTCACTGACTGGCCATATGTTCTAGGGCCCTTTCTGAAGTTCAATATAGGTCTCTCAGAGAAGGAGGGACATTCACTTCTGCTCCTTGCTCCACCCTGTGGCAGGTTTCTCAATTGTAGCAGCCCCAGCTTCTATTACTCTGCAAAGAGTCGGTGTGATGATTGGCTCCCTGTCTGTGGTTTGTGGCCCAGAAGCCTTCCCACCTCAGCCTTCAGGTGTCTCTCCTGTTGCTCCCTCCCTGTTCAACTCCATATTCTGCTCTTGATAAACAGTAATTTAGGCTGGGTGCGGTGGCTCATGCCTATAATCCCAGCTCTTTAGGAAGCTGAGGTGAGAGAATTGCCTGAGCCCATGGGTCTGAGACCAACCTGGGCTACTCGGCGAGACTTCATCTCTACAATAAATCAAAAAATTAGGCATGGTGGCACATGCCTGTAGTTCCAGCTACTTGGAAGGCAGAGATGGAAGGATCACTTGAGCCCAGCACATCAAGGCTACAATGGACATGAGTGTGCACTGCACTCCTGCCTGAGCAACAGAGTGAGACTCCTCAAAAAAAAAAGAGAAAGAAAAACAGTGATTTCCCTGCCACAGGGGAAGACTGAAGGGATCTGCCCTATAGGCACACAGGACTTAGAGTTGATTCTTCATAATCTGGCTGGGAAGATGGGCCAGACACCAGCATGGTTCACTCTGCAGGCAAACTTTTCCTGCCTGGGAGCCAGCTGGGCTCTGCTGGCGGAAGCTGCACTCATACCTGCTGATCCAGGACAGTTGTTGATTTTCTGTTCCACTTGGGGTCTGGTTGCCCACTACTGTGCCCTGACCAGACTCTTCCCAGATTGGTCCAATGACTTCACACAGCTGGGAGTGGGTAGACAGGCCCAAAGCATCTTAGGTACACTCACTCACTCTCATTCACTGGGCAAGGCTTCAAGTCCTGTGCAAGCCTGGTACTAGCAGGGAATGGAGCACCTGGATACCTGTGTCTGCCATCGTTTTCTTGCCTTTGTGTGTTCGAAGAGACCCTTGGTCAGTGCAGGGTGCCTCACCCATCCACGAGTGCTTGGGGTGCTCCGTCTATCCGTGGCTTGGTCCCTACTCTCTGCCTTGCTCAGCAAGAGCAACATCAGTCTGCTTCTCCACAGTGGCCAACTTGGATCCTCTCTCTCGAAGTCATTTTGAAAAGTATCTTCAATCCTTATAAACAGAAACATTCCAGGCTTCTGGATTGTCCCAGCATTGATCCCTATGGATCTCCAAGTACCTGCAGGTCACAGGGCAGCAGAGGCTGTGGCGGAGCCACATGGGCCTCCTGAACAGTAGGAAGTGAAACAGTGGAGACAGGTTATTAATGTTTTTCACGTTAAAAGTTTTCTTTGACCAGGTGCAGTGTCTCACACCTAAAACTGGAGGCCAAAGCAGGAGGATCGTTTGAGGCCAGCAGTTCAAGACCAACCTGGGTAACATAGTGAGACCATGACTACAAAATTTTTTTTTTAATTAGCCAAGTGTGGTGGTGCTCATCTGTAGTCCCAGCTACTCAGGAGACTGAGGCAGGAGGATCTCTTGAGTTCAGGAGTCTGAGGCAGCAATGAGCTATGATTGAGCCACTGCACTGAAGCCTGGGCAACAGAGCAAGACCTTGTCTCTTTAAAAGGAAAAGTTGGCCAGGCGCAGTGGCTCATACCTGTAATCCCAGCACTTTGGAAGGCCGAAGGAGAGGATCACGTGGGCTTAGGAGATCAAGACCAGTCTGAGCAATATAGTGAGACCTCTTCTCTACAAAAATTTTTAAAATTAGCTGACCATGGGGGCACGCATCTGTATTCCCAGCTGCTTGTGAGGCTGAGGCAGAAGGATCATCTGAGCCCAGGAGGTCAAGGCTGCATTGATCTGTGATCATGCCATGACACTCTAACCTGGGTAACAGAGTGAAACCTTGACTCAAAAAGAAAAAAAAAGTTTTCTTCATCCTGAAATTTGAGTATGTATAATTCATAGCATTAAAACATACTATAATTCTTCTCACCTGAATAACAAATGTCTTAAGTAGCTGAATTTTAATTAAACTATGCTATTTTACAGGTCTGGCTTCTTTTTTGTCTCTCTGAAAAGAAGTTTGGGATATAGTGTATATTATCTTCAATGGCAGTGTGTTGGTGTCTTGATCATCACTGTTTAATACAGTAGTTCCTACATACTACACTTGTGTAGACTGCATAAAAATCACCTGTGTAGCTTAACAATGCAGATTCCAGGGTCCCTTAGAATCTGGCTTACTGAATCTGAGGCCCTGCCTAGCAGGCTGTATTTCACAAGATCCTAAGTGATTCAGATACACAAATAAGATTTGGGAACCATTGGTTCAGTACACTTTAAATAAGAAAAAATGTAAATGAAAAAAATCCTTAAATCACAAATATTAGAATAAGGCAGAAAGAGTCTCCATGCCATGTGAAAGTGATCAGATTTTAGGACTTGAGCTTTTAGGGGGTTTTTGGTAGGCGAGGATCACTCTAGAAGCAACTCTGCACTGGGGTTCAGGTGAGATCCTTAAGATTTCTCTCTTTGTACCCAGGCTTTTGTTTCCCGTGGGACAGCTTCATGACCCTTTTCTCTTTTTCTTTTTCTTTTTTTTTTTGAGTTGGAATCTTACCGTGTCACCCCGGCTGGAGTGCAGTGGCAGGATCATGGCTCAGGCAGCCTTGACTTCCTGGGTTCAGGCAATCTTCTGCCTCAGCCTCCCATGTAACTGGGACTACAGGTGCACACCACCACACCCAGCTAATTTTTTTATTTATTGTAGAGACTAGGTCTTGCTATGTTACCCAAGCTAGCCTCAAACTCCTGGGCTCAAGCAGTCCTCCCACCTCAGCCTCCCAAAATGCTGGGATTACAGGAGTGAGCCACCATGCCTAGCCATACAATTACAAATATTCCTAAAGCTTATATCAGCATATTATTGTCCTTTGCAGGGTAGCATAATGAGAATTTAATTTCTGTAGATAGTTCACAGTCCTATGAAGGGCTCCTGAGGTTGTATGTTGTAAACAAGAGTAATTATAAGTTAAGTGTAGGCCTTTTACTAAAGAAAAAAAAAATCAAAAAGGCTAGCAGAAGGAGGTCTTTAATTTCAGGCCATTGATGATACCATTTTACTAAGAAAAAACTTTTCCATGGTTTTTAACAGCTAACATAATGCCTTCATCATCTCATCTCCTTGGTTCAATGCCATGGGGACCGCCAGTGCCAGTTCCTGGGAAGCCCTTCCGTCGTACTTTATATTCGGGGACCATGCCCATGGCTGGGGGAATACCCGGTGGTGTGCACAATCAGTTCATACCTCTGCAGGTGAGACCAAGAAAAAGAATTATTTTTTAAATGCACAAAGACCATTGATAAAAATGTGTTTATCCGATGTATTCAGTGCCAACTAGAAAGCCAGTACAGGTACTGTCTGAATACTAAGAACATAATGGTGATAAATCCGACATGTCCTTGCTGTCTCAGTTTGTGTTCTAGTAAAAATAATAATTATAGCAAGTAATAACATGCTGTTCTCACACAGAGTGATTTAAAATGGGGAACAAAATCAGAATACTTTTAAATTTTTTAACTTATGGATATGTTTTTAAATAGTTTGTAACTGAATTCTTTGATTTACTAAAGTCTGGTTTGGAAATTATAAGTGACAGTCACAAATCAGCAGTGATTGACAAATATTAGCATGGTTTATGGTATTTTTAGACACTAGGTTTTTTGCCTACATTGTTAATTAATGATGATTTTATTCCTTAAAGGTTACTAAAAAAAGAGTTGCAAACAAAAAGAACTTTGAGAATAAAGAGACCCAGAGTTCTTCTCAAACCACCCCACTTCAGACTAGCCAGCCAGATTCTTCCAATGTCACCAAAGTAATTCCACAGGAGAGTTTGTCACCTTCCTTGAAGTCCTCTCAGGTTGCTCGGCCCGCATCTTCTTTTCAAATTGAAACTGCCTCTCAAGGCCATAGTGTGTCTCACCATAAGTCAACACCAAACTCTTCTTCAAGAAGAAAATCAAGAAAACTGGCTGTCAATTTTGGCGGTTCTAAACCTTCTGAATAAATTTGGTTCTTGGAATTCTATATCTATGTCTAAAAAAATTAGAATGTACTATTTTGAAATAATGTTTTAAATTGAATTTTTTTCATTTTTAAGTTGTCAGGCACTTTTCATGCTGTTTAAAAGACTATATATATCAAATTGTGCACTTTAAATATGTGCAGTTTGTTGTATGTCAATTATACCTCAATAAATCTGTAAAAAAAAAAAAGACTAAATTAAACCTTGTGTCAAAATAATATCAGTGGACTAAGCATTAAAATGTACCACTCTAATCATTGGCCTCATCATAGAAGCATCCTGAACTATGAATTAGACATCATATTAGCAATAAAAATAAACATTTTTTACACTATTATTGAGGAATAAGTAAATGGAGCATGAAAATTGGGCCTCAAATATAATTTACTGAATGTGGATTTTATTTCTCTTGTTAATGATGTAAGAAAATGGTCAAGAGAATGGCTCTTATGTATGTCTATTTTAACTTATGCTTTGTTGTCTCTGAGGGTCCTGTAGACCTGCTGTGAAATGATCACACTTGTGGTGGTGCTGCCAGTTTTGCTTTATTCTAAATTTTGTACCAAAGCAACTTTAGAATACTGATCAAAATATTTCATCTAACAGCTTAGAACTATAAATAGCATTCTAGATTTGAGTAAGTAGGTACAATTTTTTAGATTATTCAAGAACCAGCATTCGTAATTTCTAATAAAATGGTTTCAGAATCTACAGGGTACAATGATTAGAAATTAATCTTCTAATAGAATGAAGTACAAAATATTAATCATATTGTTAACTAAGATAAATTGTGTTCTTATTTTGTATAGCTTTTAAGTTGCTTACTTGACCTTTTATGAGAGCCTCATAGATGTTCCATGTGCAGTGCTTCCTGGGATTGAAGAAATTCTGAATTTTTTTTAAGTTCCAAGGTGTGCTGTAATACAGGAGGCAAATCATCAGTTTGTGATGTACATTATTTACTGCCTGTTTCATTATGGTTCTATAATTTTATCTTTATGCTGAACAGTGATGTTGGATTTTGTCTTTGCATGTTATGTGTGGATGTGTGTTGTTTAAGCTGAAACTGTTGAAATTATTTTAGAATTTATGAAAATGTATCTGCAGTACCAGGGCTTGTGTTTTTATATATATATTTATCCCTTAGTTTTTGTGATATGCTTATATTTTTAAGGAAGTAAGTTATATCATACTTTTTTAAAAGTAAGAACCACAATCTTTATATGGAGCTGCTTACTATTATATCTGAGTTTATTTAGCTCATTGAAAACTCTGCCGTGAGTCTTAAAATAGTCTTATTTGTTTTTTAAAATGTTGGTATTGAACTAAATTAATGCTTTTCACTAACTGCTGTTTTCAGAGTTTCTCTAAATGTTAGCAGGATATTTGTATATTAGTAGTGCCTTCAGTATAAGAAATACATGTTCATTATCTGTCACTTATTATAGTCATGTGAGTTTCCGTGATTTTATTTTCTGTTAATTTCCTAAGTTCAGATGTTCATCAGTTCCCAACATTTTCTTTCTTCTTTATCTATAGTAAGATCTTGAGTAATGGAGCTCAAGTAATTCTCCATGTGTATCTTTATTGCCTCATAAACTCTGTTTTTAAAGGAAACATCTATTATGGTAATACAAAGAAAAAAATTGACAGTGGTGTTTTTGCTGCTTTAAAATGTGTAACATTTCACCTCAACTGTGCAAACTCCAGCTCGAAGAATTGCCTCACTCATTACTCCTGTGCTACAGTTCTGTACACAGCACACAGGCCACATCTGTTTTAGAGCCCAGAGGAAGGAGCACGTGCCACCTTCTCAGACTCCAAAGGGAAACATTAGTAAACATAATGCCACTGAACCTGGAAGGATACATCCCCAGTATTTGAGCACAGCAAGCTGATAACTCTATATAGAAAGGCAATGAAGGTGTTTCCTTTTTTTTTTTTTTTTTTTAAATAAAACCTGTAATTCTAAAGGTCGGGTTTAAAAAGAGACTAAAATATGAGAGAGCTCCGTAATGGCTGGATAGTCGTCAGGCATTCTCCTATATTCTTTTCCCCCTGTAGACCTGTTCCAAACGTGGACCTTGGGTCAGTGGGAGGCGTGCCTTTCTGTGGAGGACAGAAGAGGCGGAGGCCTTTTACCTCATGATGGTCTTGAGGAAACTGGATCCATTGATAATCATGCCTGGTAGAGTTCAGGGCATATCTGAAAAGCAGCTGAGCTTTGGGAAGCTTAAAATCTTCCTTTTGGATAGGATGGACTGAGACTACCCCCAAAGTTTAAAGATATGCACATTCAACTATTGAATCTACTAAGGATTTTCTGTGAAAATGGTGGAATATATAGGCCTCAGAAGGATAGGTTCCCCAAATTGCTTTATGTTTCCATGTAACTAGAGCACTTCAATCTATTTAAACCTTCCTCTTCTCACTGAAACATTATTTCTAAATATTCTTGTTCAATAAGTCTTCTTTTGAGCAAATTAAGTGAATTTTGAAGATTGTTAACTGGGTGTACTGGTGTGCAACTGTAGTCCCAACTACTCAGGAGGCTGAGACAGAAGGATCATTTGAGCCCAGGAGATCAAGGCTGCGGTAAAGCACTCCAGCCTGGGCAAGGAGAGAGACCCTGTCTCAAAAAAATAAAGATTGAGCCAGTCTCGTTGTTTCTTTTCACATTTCCTGTGAAAAGAACTATCTTAGTTTTATAATTTGACAGACTGTATTAACTGTTTTAAACATTATGTAGACTAAAGTCTTAAACATCTGAGACTCCATTGCGTGAAAATTGAATTACCTCTATTGAACCTTGGTTTTAATTTAAGATTTTTTTCACTTTTCAAAGGGTAAGTAATGAAAATTGGAAATTGTTTTCCCTGTTGGTGGGAAGGATGGAACTATTGATGCAAGTTTTTCATTTTTATTTTCTTTTCTATAATCAGGTATGTGCTTGGGTTTAGACTGATACTTCCACACGAACCTAGATTCTTGACTTTTTAAGGGAAGGAAGCAGAAAGGGGGGCAGTTGGAAGAAGGAAACCAGTTAAATAAGACATACCCAGTCACTGCATTTTCAGACTATACTGTCTCTTTCTCAAGGAAATAGATAAACTGTAAAATCTTTTTTATCCATGAAAACTTTTAAATCATCTGTTCTATTTGCATTAATCATAATTTTCATAATGGCTGACTTTTACCTTATATGAGCTAGAACGTGCAAGTCTCCATCCAAGTTAATTCTAACACATTTCGTCCCATTATTTAGAGCATCTTTCTTTTAGTTAAGCAACAGTGTACAATTTCACAGCCTTATGAGCTTGCTATATGTCTTAGTACCATGTTGCTTCCAAATTGTGGAGTTTTTTTCCAAATTGTGTTTTTACTGTAGAATAGAATTACCGTATTGGAGAGAAGTGATTGTGAAAGGCATGTGCTAAGTCAATCACGAAAGTTCACTTACTGTTTTTCTAGAGATAAGTTACAGTACTCAAACTGGCAGCGTTCTTTATGTTGTAAGCTTTGTCAGTGAAATCATCTTTTCTGCAGGAGCTTCCTTTCCTAGTCAGGATAAAGCTTAAAATTCTGGAAGTGAATATTTTGCAGACTGACTTGATTCATATTTCCATCAGACCTCTCCATCTCTGCCAGGGAATTGTTAGAGACGGTGTTGAAACAGATAGCATCAGGTCTCCAGCAGCAGGGTGGAGCAGACAGGCAGAGGCCATAAGTTTTGCTGTGAACTATTTCATTAACAACTGAGACATCACAGACCTTTCTCCTAGAGAAGAAAAACGTGTAACATAGTTCTAGTAGTCAAGAGTATCAACAGTCTGTAGCTGCTTTTGTGTTTGCATGTGTGTATGTCAGTGAACCAATAATAAGGCCTTGCTCAATCAATGCATTCAGCCATCTCAAGTGCAATTTGTGAAGGAGACTGTGGTTTCCAAAAGAGACATTTTTCACATAGTTAAACCTGTAAAAATGATTTTTTTCAGGAGTATAATCATCACTATTGATTATTTTAGCAATTGATAGACTATTAAACTTGGCCCAGGCCAAATAATTAAGTTTCTGTATCTGTTGAAGTAATTTGAAACCAAATTCTCATGCTTTTTCATGAAAAAATAGGAGTGAGAATTCGGTCCACAGTGCGTTTTAGTTCTTTATTTTTGGAGTGTTTTTGGTTTGGGGTTTTGGGGGAAATGTTTGTGGTTTGGGGGATTGTTTTTGGCCTCAAGTATCTTATGTGTTCTTTTGCCTGCACTCAATTGCTTCTTGAGTGTTTTCATCTTTTTTAATATATGATGAATAGATGGTGTGCTGTGTCATCAAAGTGTTCAACATTTTCACTTAATATAATTGAGTGTAATTTATACATATATGCATACATATCTTAATTCCTTTTTTCTCACATACATAACTTTTATAAGTAACTGGAATTTTTCATTAGATCTTATACAGAGCAGTATTTTATTAAAAATTCAAAAGGGACGACTTTTATGTGCTCATTTTGTAGTTTTTGTTTTTTAAATATCTTTACATTGTCTGCCAATTAAAGTGTTTTAAACTTGCATTGGAATGGACTCCGAATGTATTTTTGTGTTTTTAAGTTGTATATTTGTAGATTTCTAGCATGAAGTTAGCCTCACGATGCTGTGCTAAAGGATCTTAAAATATAAGAGTTGCTGAAAGGATTTCAACATCTTTCCATGTTAAGCGCTCTATGGATTTTCATTAAAGACTTGAGAATGATTTCATAAGCTGGCTGTTCTTTTATTATCACATTAATATCAAAAGTAGAAACATTAGTCTTCACTTGCCGCCCCCTCATCCTTTTATATCTGTACCTTGATGCTACATCATTTAATTAACTGAGACAGCACGGATGGTGGAAAACACCTGAACTGTAGATTCACATGGCCACCGTTCAGCTTGCTCCATTTCTTACTAGTTGTAAAAAAAAGTCATGATCATATTAGCATTGGCAAGTCGTGGAAGGTCTAAGCTCCAGATTCTTCCATCTGCTAAAGAAAACAACACCCCTTGTGTTAGTATGTATAAAGCACTATGTACAAAGGTATAAGGTTTTATAAATATCGGTAATAAGGATTGCTCATGTGTGTACTCAGATCTTTTAGCTGGCTCACAAACACCTGAGGTCTTCTGGATGATGCCAAATATTTGTTTTCCCCACTGAGTCACCCTTCAGTATCCAGTATGGACAGAGTCCCCAAGCCTCGGGCATCTGGGA